CTTTGTGTAGCAGACACTGGAGCCTCCAAACAGATCATGCTGTCAGATGCAGTCTATTCTGCTGGGAGCTATAGTCTCCACAGCTGAAAAAAAGTTGTCAGCTGCACAAAGAAGCTGTGGATGCCCCCTCCCAGGGGTTCAAGGCCAGGTTGTGCAGAGCTTTGAGCAACATGGTAGAGTGGAAGGTGTCCCTGCTGATGGCAGGGGGGTTGGAACTGGATGGTCTTTAAGATCCCTTTCAACTCAAACCTTCTAGGATTCTATGAAAACTACATTTCAGCCTCCAAGAAGAAAAATGACTTGTGTGCTGGATGGTTTTCCCCATTTAGTGTTTGGGAGGTAAATGGTGAGGGGGAATGGTGTATGTGTGAATTCAGGTGTAACCCTTGCAGTGTTGTGAGATCTGCCAAATAGCTTAGCCAGCTGCTTGTTTTTGTGTTTTGTGTGTTTTTTTTTTTTTTTTTTTTTTTTTCCTCCCAGCATCCCAACTATTGTGCTCCCACTTCAGTTTATGGATAGCAGTTTTCTGAGTAAAAACTCTTGCCCCCTTCCTGGAAGCATTCAAGACCAGGTTGGATGAGGCTTTCAGCAACCTGGTCTAGTGGAAGGTGCCCACTAGGCAGAAACTCTTGACAAGTAAATGGTGCAAGGCTCTGAGAAGCAGACAAGGGTGGTTGATTCTGAATGCTTGGGAAGACCTTATTTTACTTGCCTTTCCCATGAATGTAGACAGCTTCTACACACCAGCCTGTCAGGATTTGTAAAGCAGGAGCTGTTGGGCTATGGGGCTGGGCAGCCACGTTTCCGTCACTAGGTTTGACCCGATCACTTTTGGAGCCCTGCTGTTGGCGTTGCTGCTCTGTGACCCAATGTTCTCTCCTCCCTGAAGCCGTTGACACACTCCGTGCCCTGGGTTATTGCAAAAGTGTTGCTCTTTAAATGTGACTTTCACATGGGCTCTGCATTGTGCTACCCATTTCAGTTACAGAGCTGGCTCTGTGTTTTGGTGGTTTCTTTTTTTTCTTCAGTCCAGAGTTTGCTGGGTTTTTTTCCTGATTGCAAAAGACGTTTGAAATGGGCAGAATTGTAAAAGCTTATCAGCAAGTCATAACTCTCGTTTCTTGCTCCCCAGCTATGTTACGCCTCTATTCACTCGACTGAGTTGCATCTCCACGCAACAGCTCGTGTCGCCACATCAGCCCTTAAGCTTTATTTACGCCGAACACTATTTTCCCTCTTCTGTCATCAATTACGAAGTTATAAAAAGCGCTGGTGTTGATGACTGTCAGCGGGAAGGCCCCAGCGGTGTCTCTTGCCCAGGCCGGCTGGTGGCAGCACGCCATCTCCCAGCACTCTGGCCGGGCAGGAGGCAGGGCTTGCCACTGGGCTTTGCCTCCATTAGGACAGGGAACAGTTAAGCTGAGCTTCCTTGCTGCTTTAAACTGCTTTGAAGATGTGTTGCAAGTGTTCAGTGATATAACAAGGAGACCTGCAGGAAGAGTTTATAATATGTTGAGCAAAACAGAGACTGTCAAATTAAGTGTGTAGTCAAGGGGAAGGAGACAAGGATTTTTCAGTAATATTTTGGGTTTTTTTAGTGTATCAAATAATTTGGTTTTGAGCCACAGCACTTCAGAACACAAATCAGGTTTGCTGTGGTAACACTGAATGCTCAGAAATGCTCTTACCTTCAAAGTTACCCCAGAGCAGAGAGGCAAATATACTTCCTCATTTTTCAGGGTGTGCTCTGTTCACTCGAGAATAGTCTTTTCATCTTCTCCTCTACTTTGTGCTATTTGATTTCCTTCACCTTTGCCCATTTTATACTGACTTTTCTCTCCATTATGAAATCGGGGATCCCTGTTAGTACTAAATTGGTCTTGTTCTTTCCTAGTGGTCTGGCAGAATATTTCTGTGAGCTCTGTCTGCAAATTTAGGTTTGAGTTGCATGCTGTGCTGGGTAGGCTGTGTGTGACTCTTGTTAAAATCCTGTTGACACATAATGTCATTTCTAAAAATGTTTGGTACCGATCTAATTATCTACCCAGAGAGGCCAATTACTCAAGCAGCTCATATTTTTTCACTTGAGTATATTCTGTCAGAGTACATGACTTGCTCAGACCTAGACCCTGAAAACAGAAACTTTTTTTTTTTTAAATTTTTTTTTTTTTAGTTTTTTTCCCAAAAGCCTGCGGTAGCAGTAATGAAGTTGTGGATCTGGATAAAAAGTGTCTGAATGGCCCATGCTTTTTACCTTATTGCAAGGAGCTGGTAAACCAGACTTAAACTTTCTGTTCAGAGGCCCTAAAAAAATTTCCATCCTTTCTTCCATCCAGTGCGTGTATCTCCTCCATGGGATAGGGAAAATACCTTTTCTTGCTGCAGTGCTTCACTGACAGGACTCTGACAGTTTACTCCTGAAGATCCAAGTGAAGATTTTCTTGTTTCATGTGATTATTTATTATTTTCTTTTTTTAGTTTCTGCAAGTTCCATTTAATATTACTTGAAAAATCCCAGGGGGGTGAAATATTTCCCCTTTGCAAATTCATAAAGGATGCTTTCTTGCTAGATTTTGGCCTGAAGAAATCCTGCAGTAATCTGAGAAAGGCAGAAAAGACCAAGTCAAGGGAGGTGGCGCTTGGGAGTCTAATCACTAAACTCCTGCGGATTAGAGACGGGGCGCCGTGCCAAGGCGACCCAGGCTCTATTCCTGGCCCTTTAAACCCCCCAGCTCTTTCGGATCTGCTCTGTGCTTGTTTCGGGGGAAGCATGAGGCTTTACAATGTGTCGTAAGCAGTTTCCCAGCCCTCTGCAGCTAGGAAGTGCAGCTGTTAAACATGATAGACTGATGCAGGGGAGCAAGGGGGCCATTACTGGGAGGACAGGGGAAAGTGTGGGGTCTGCTTCTGCTGCCTGTGGTGAGATGCTGCTGTAGGTGCTCAGCAGCAGGCAGGGTGATGCTGGGAGGATGCACTGCTGCAGTGAGGAGTTTGAGCAGGCATTCTGCTAGGCGGATGGCACCCTGTGTTTTTTCAGCCCTGTATTCTTTGCAGGCAGTGAAAATTGCTCCTTTTCTTTTCCTTCCTTCTTCCCCTATTCCACTTGGAGACTGTTGCTTCTCAGCTGCTGCGCGCCCAGACTGATGCTGCAGAAGATGGTATGGAGAAATGGGCCTTGGGAACTGGTGTTTGAGCAGGGACTGTGGGACGATGCGCAGGTGTGGTTGCACAAACACACACATGCTGAGAGGCCTGAACATGTCGGTACTCAGGGAATGGAGGCAAATGCCAGGGCACGCTGTGGATGAAAGTGTAAGAACAGACTTTACGGAGTAATAAAGCCTGTGTGGTTTGTGTTTGGGCTGAAAATCCCATCCCATCTGTTCCAGATGTTTTTGGTTGTGTTTATAGCAAGTAGCTACTGTGCTGCTTTGACAGAAAAAAATTGTAAAAAATAAATTTGAGTGCATCTTCACAACCATTGCAAAAAGGCAAGAGCATCCATGAAATATGTTAACTTTTATTGCCTTAGAAAAGATGCATAAAGAGTTGTAAATAATTTAGTTGAAGAACTGGAACTTTTGTGGGCCTGCCTGAGTGCTGTTTTTTTTGTGTTTTGTTGTCAAGAAGTATGTCCTTCCCCTTCACGCAAGGTAGCAGCTGCTTGTGAAATGGTACCTTCCTTAAGTCAGGGAAATTTGTTTTTCGAATCATCTGGCTTCTGAGTCTCTGGCAGACAGCATGCGCAGAAACAGCCTCTGTGAAGGGGAGGTGGACCTTTTTTCAAATGTCAGAACTGGACCTAAATTTAGGAGCTGATACTCACATTCATTTCATGTATGGTGCTGTATTAGCTGCTGCTGTCCAGTAATCTGAAAGAATAAAAGCAGTGTATTTCTATCTGCTTAGTTAGTGGTTTTGAATCTAAAGTGTTGCTTTGTTCTTTTTTACCTGTGACATATTTGAGACTCATTCACGGGAGCTGAGCTGCAGACTAAGCCAAGGATGAGGCCAGTGGCATGTTGGTAGAGATGCTTGAGGTGGAGGAGCACTTGGCAAAGGTGGGAGAATGGCTGCTGTGCCACTGCTTTCAGAAAATGAGGGCTCTGGTACTTTCTTTTGTGGCTGTGGTGGTTTTTTTTTTGTTGTTGTTGTTCAGGTAGCCATTGACATGCAAGGTAGATGTCCTGAGACATTCCGATTTCTGTCTCATCTGTTTGGTTTTTATACTCTTCTGAACTTGAATGTGCCCTTAAAAACTGTATGAAGTGTTTGCTGCTGCTGCACTTGGAGGATCTTGTGGGATCACAAGTGGAAGTGATATGGGTGTGAAGAAGTTTTTGAAGGCTTTGCTTCTTTCTGTACTGAGTTTTTCCTTATTCCATCTAAGGAATATAAGGAGAAGGTATTGTTTTTTGATTGTTACCCACATATGCCTGTTTCTTGCCACTGGTAGGAAAACAGGTACCAGCTCGGTCTCCCATTGTATTAAGATAGAAAGCTTCCACAGTGACTGTCCAGCACTGAGCAGCAAATATGTCCTTAGCCTCTAAGCAATATGAAAGGAGATTTATAGCTCGATTTTTTTTTTTCTGTGATTTGATCATTTTTGTATTTGCTTGTCAAAAATGAATTTGCAGGTGAACCTTTGGAAAGTGTGTGGTCTTATTTTGTGGGTGAAATAACAGCAGCATGAGTTCTGGGCAGCACTGCCAGGAAGACCTTTCTGGTGGAGGCATAGAGTTAGGAGTCTGTCCTATACAGAGAAGCAGATAAGAGGTAGAGAGAAAAAGGGAAGGGAAAGAAGACAACTGCTAAAACCCATCCCCAAATGGATGAATGAATGGGTGACACACATAAGTGACTGCTGTGATGGTCTGACTTACTGTAGCTCAGTCTCTGGATAATCCTCATATGTCAGATTTCTGTAAGGCCACCATGTGACACAAAGCTTGCCTCCCTACAGACAAGTGTGCTTTGCTAGCATTAAGAGGCTGGCGCAAGGCTGGTCTCCCACTGTGCATTCAGACGCATGTGTATGTCTGTGTAGTATGTGTGCCTGCTCCTGTATGTGGTTCTGCAGCCAAGGTCCTTCAGAAGAACTTTAACAGGAAACTGGAACTCAGCAAGCTCTTGGCTATTGCATAGATAGTCCCAAAATTGCTTTTGTGTCTATACGTCCATTTTAGAAAAAAGGAAAAAGGCAGAGGGGGGGGAAAAAAGAAGAAACAGGAAAAAATCCCAAAGACTTCTAGCCAGGATTACCTTACTTCCACCTGTCACCACTGATGTCCTCTCAAGGTTAGAACTCGAGCGACGTGAGGCCATCTTAAACCAAACGCCGTTTGAAAGGAGCTCTATGAAGGAACAGCAGGCACTGGAAGGAAAACAGGAGTGCCCACAGGAACATGAACAACAGCTTGCAAATTAACCTGCCCAGGACCTGGGCCGGTTCAAATCGCTCACTCCAGGAGAAGTCTGAGCATTCCTTTTTTCTTTTCTATTACTATAGGATGGAGGACGAGGCAGTACTGGATAGAGGGGCTTCCTTCCTTAAACATGTATGTGATGAAGAAGAAGTGGAAGGTAAGAGACCTTGGACTGCTGGGGAGAAAGGGTGCCTTCAGAAATTGTATTTGTATGTAAGATCGGAACAGTCAGATAGCAGAGAAAAAAGGCACCTTTGTTTTGCCAAGTAATTAATCCTAAAATTGCCTGAAACACCAGTAAGCTTGATCGGGGTGGAACTGAGCTTTTAAAGAAACCTTCTTTTTCAGTTCAGGAGTGAAATGTTGTCATACGGTGCTGCACACATTTCCACTTCCCACAAAGTTGTGTTTGCTGTGTCTTGCATAGTGGCTGTGAAATTTGGGTTATTTTGTTTTCCTTTCCTCTATGAATATAGTTTTGGCAACACTTGCATATCATCACTGCACTTGGAAGTGCTGGAATGTGGTGGTAGGTGCTGCAGATGGAGAAATGAACTGGAAAAAACAGCAGTTTCACTGAGTGTCAGGGATGGACATAAGGCAGCAAGTGGATGTTTGACTGGGTTATCCTTTTAGTTTAAGAGGCATAAAGAGAAAGTTTTTTCCCTTAAAGAGGAACTTTTTTAACAGAGCAATTTCCTCATTTTTTAGGAAAAGAGTAGACTTCTTTGCAAGTGTTTTTATATTGTCTCTAGCTAAAAATGTTGTGAAATCCTAAAGGTAAAAGGAATTTAAAGGAGTTTAGTTGAAGCTTGTTTGTGGAAAATTATTAAGCTGATAGGAATGAATTATTTGCAGCAAATTATCTTTTTCTCATTTTATGAGAATCCGTTGACTGTGTGCTTGATGAACTAGTAGGGGAGAAGGAGGAAAAGATGATAGAGTACGTACTCTACCTAGAAGGGAAAGGAGTCAAGCATTTTACCTCACAGTCCTATCCTTCCCCTCTTGACTTAGGTCAATTTTATTCTAATTTCTTTATTTGCAAGCAAATGCTTGTGGCTTTTTTGTTTAAAATGTTTTGAAAGGTGCAGGGTTACAGCCATGTCATTGTCACTGGTAATGGACGGTAAAGAATCGAGCAGTATGAAAAAATAATCTCCAGAAAGATAAATTAGAACACTTCCAGCAAGTCAAACCAGTCATTTCCATGAAAAAGCCTGTGTTTTCTTCCTCTCTTGTATGAAGTAATCTGTGCTTAGTACCTATAAATAATCATGTTGAGTTTCATTAGGCCATTTGCTGTCTGCAGGGTCAGAATGACAGGGGTTTTGTATTAGCCTTTTGCTTGTAGAATAATTAATACTTTGGCCCAGCAGAAACATTTGAGAGGGGAGAGAGGGAGAACATTTCTTAGATTTTACTGTCTTAAATGTTGCCACGTGCTGTTGTGGTGTGTATTGCCCATGTGTGATTCTCTGGGAATATAAAACAAATTGTTGGTTTTTGAAGAGCAGTGTGGGAGTGTTCTTTTAACTATCTGCCGGTGCTGGGAAAAAGGTTGTGGTTAATCTTTAAGTAATATTTGTAGATATGGTGTGTTTATCTCCTTGTTTCAATGCAGATATTCTCATTTGATTTAGTTGGGCTAACAGACCAGTTGCAGTTCATCTCGCTGGAATAAGAAGAGGAGGTGAAACAAGTATTTCTAATTACACAAGACAGGCCTCTTGAGAAGTGTAGCTGCTTGTCTGAGCCTCTGGAGAGACTTGGAGCTGAGTAACTGGCTAATTCCCTTGTTTGTGCTAAATGCAGTGCCTTGATTCTCACCAGGCTCCTGTGAATGACCTCACTAAATCACAAAAGGATCTGTTCTGTGGTGGGGCCAGTGCTGACACCGTAGCATCTGTCAGTGTCATGGTGCATGTGTGATGTGGTTGGTGAGTTGCTGCTCGGCCACTCTTCTGGTGTGGGACAGCCTTGAATTCATAGTACTTGGCAAATTTGGGGCATTACTACAGTGCAAGTAATCATTTAAGGCTTTGGGACTTTGAAGAGATCTTACTTGCTTTAGAGGGGAAGATTTCCAACCTAAATGATTTCCAACCTAAATGTCATCAGCTACATCTAACTCTCTACACACATATGTGCCTTGTATGTAAGTACACTTAGTGTATGTTTGTATCTACACACATATCCACCCCATGTACAGTCATAGTCTGCATGTATGGAATGATTTGTAGATCCACAGAATGGTTTGGGTTTGAAGGGACCTTTTAAAGACTGTCCACCCACCCTGCTGTGGGCAGGGACACCTTCCACCAGCCCAGGTTGCTCAAAGCTCCATCCAACCTGACCTTGAACACTGCCAGGGAGGGGGCAGCCACAGCTGCTCTGGGCAACCTGTGACAGTGTCTCACCACCCTCACAGGAAAGAATTTCTTCCTTATGTCCAATCTAAATCTGTCCTCTCTCAGTTTAAGATCCAGTGGAAAGGCTAAAACATCAGGTTGAAGATACTTCTAAGTCTGCTAGATTTCTGCACTGCAAAGGGAGTGGTTACCAGGAGAGATCTAGAGACCTGAAGGTGTTAGCTCTGAACCACTTCAGCTACTTTCATGGTATGGTTATAACTTGCTTTTCTAAAAGGCTTACAGTAGTTTTACCCTCTGTAGAATAAGGTAACAGCAAGTGGAATTGTTACCTTCAGGTGTATTATATTTTTCTGATAATTTTTATTTTTAGCCTACTTTCATGAGGAAACAACATACATATAAAGTTGTTTACCTGTCTTTCGCCTTTTCTTTCATCTCCATAATTTTTTGCACCTAGTAGTCAATATCAATCCAAATTTCTTAGGAAGGCTCTTCAAAGCTACTCTTAGTTTCACTAAACTTGTAGGGAAAAAAAAAAAAACTGAGCAGAGGAGAGATTGTTTTCTTTTCTCTCTGCTAGGGAAAGGTAAATTGTAACCTTTATGAGAAGAGAGCTGACAGTGTGGTATTAGGACAGTGGAACTTGGGGATTCCCCAGCTGCAGGAGAGAATGGGAGAACCCTACTGCAAAACATAAGGTGCTTAGAAAGCAGGCTGCTTTTGTTGCTCATGAATCGGTTTGATTTCAAACAGATGAAGACAGAATTTTAAAGTTGTCATTTTGAGCATCCCTATTTTGCATGTTCTTTGCAAGAAGAGAGAAGGAGCATGGTGTCATTTTATCGGTACCTGGTGACCTCGCGTTATGTCTGTGAGATGGAGATAGCAACTCTGAATTACCATGTCTCTAATGTGATTATGTAGCAGTGTGGGGGAGAGGGAAGGACTTTGATTTTTAAGGAGGGGGAAGAATGGACATTTTTGGTTGGTCGGGATGTTGAGACATTTTCAGCTTGTCTGTTGTGCCCTTGCTCAGTAAATGTAATGTTAATAGAAATCATACATACCTGACAAAACTGTGTCCCTTTGGTCTGGTTCCAGAGATTGGTTAATGCTTCTCTGATGGGACCTCAGTCTGGTCCTATGCTGGAATGTGTTGCTATTTTCTTGGTGATATCAGCTGTTGACATTCAAAAATTAGTCCATTCCAGCTCACCCCATGCTGTCTTTATCAGTGAGAGGACTCAATTTATTAATTCAGTATGTGTTAGTTATGAAGAGCTGCTTTGCTGGCCATCACTGATATTGCACATAAGTGCCCAGAAATGTGACTTGGTGAGCCAAGGGATCTGCCTGGGTCAGGTTCAGATTGTGGAAGGAAAGCCAATGCAAAAATGTAGGCTTTCTTAGGGAAATCAGGAAGAGGCACTGCCCTAAGCTGAACCTCCTGTGTGAGAAAAGCATTCCCATTCATTCAGAGCACTGCACGTTCCTTTCCTTGAAGGTAATGACATATTGCTGTAATGCCACTGTTAGGAGTGCTGGTATGTGTGACATAAACAGATTACTTAATAGCCAATTTTGCAAGAGGGGAAAAGTAAAGCTCCACCTTATCCTTTGAGATAAGGTATTCTTGGCTCTTGAAGCGTAACTTCCCCCAGGCTCACTGCTGCCCTGACTTCTCGGTGGGGTGGAGGATGCTTGATTTCAAGTCTGACAACTCTTTCTGGAAGGCTTGAGGACCACTCTGGCTGCCTTTTAGGAGACGGGGACCGGCACTCGTGTCAGGTGTTTTGTCCTGCATTTCAAATCGTTTGCAAAGTAAAGGTCTGAGAGTATCTCTTAGATACCACTGTTGCAGGAGTGGATTCAGGAAAAAATGCTGTTACTGTGGAAACTTTTTCTTGGATCCTGTTATCAGTATGGTTTTTACTACATAGAGAGCCTAAACCAGGGATTTTGTAATGACTTGCTGTAACTCCTTTTTCCATTTTAGCTGACTGCTCTCCACACCTTCCACCTCCTTGCTTTCTCTTCTTGACCCTGTTGTGTCATTGCACTTTGCTGGTAGAAAGCTGTGTGATGACATAAGCCTAAGATTATTACTTGATGGTTGGATCAATGGGGAGAGAGGTTTAAAGGGTAAAGATAACTATGAAAAATCTTTACTTTTATTAACAGCAGGCAGAAGGTAGAAGAAGGCAGAAGAAGACTTTGTTTTCGTTTTCTTCTGTCATCCCCACCCTCAGTTTTTGATTAGTGAAGGTAGGCAGACCTTCTCCATTTACAGAAATAACCAGAAAACCTGTTTCATATCAGTTAGAGTTTTCAATTGCTTCTGAAATAAATATGATTTAAGAAAACCCAGTATGATAAAATCTCAACACAGAATGTACTTCATTAATATTCTTTGGTACCTTTAAATTATCTGCAGAGGCAGAGTAGGCTGTATTTTGCTTTGGTAAAACTGAGTCAGGCTTTGCTTGTGCAAAAGCAAAACGATGAGGACTCAGGCACTGCCTTTTTGCTCTCTTTCTGTACAGCAGCTGGCACAACTTGGGAATGGCAGGCACAGACTGGGACCTAAATGATGCCCCACACAGCTAGTAAAATCAAGACGGTTAGTTTGGATCTTCTCAACTTTGAAGTATCTGGATGAAAGATTTCAGATGAGCTTCTCTCCAGCTTTAATTCTCCATGACACTTTGCAGAATACTGAAATATGCCATTAACTGGTTTGTCACAAATGAAAAGATCTAGTGCTATGACTTCGCTGCAGACT